CTGTACTTCAAGCCACTCACTCCCCAGGGAGCTCACTGCCCAAGTGATCGCCCTTCCTCTCTGAATCCCACAACTCCTGACCACATTGCTTTTCTTCCCTTCCTGCCCAATTACACGTATATGTTTCTTACAGCCTTGGTTGAACAGGAGTCCTTCTGCCAGTTTACAGTGAGGATTATTCCAAAGTAAATGTATTTTTGATGTGTTCGTGGGGGAACGTGAGCTCCATGCCCTCCTACACTGCCACCTTGATTTCCTCTCAGCTGGTCCATAATGAACAAAATCAACCAGATGAGAAATGAACCTATATTGTTTGGAGGACAAGCCTGTTTAGCCCAGTTTTATCAAACCTGAAAAGCCAGGTGTGTAAGAATAACTCCCCCATTGATATCTGATCAAACACCCATTTCCTACCCTTTATATCTGATCTGAATAGCAAGATTCTTATTAAGTCGGCTTAGCAAGAACACCCGTTACCCTGTTTTCTGTTGGTAATTTTCCATCCACTGACTCCTTCATCCTACTTCTTGGCTATAAGTCCTCAGCTGTCTTTATTTAATGTTGAACTCAATCTTTCAGTCTTTGAGGACTCATTTAAAGAACACCTTGCCCATCCTGATACCCTGTGACGCTCCACCCAAGAGTCCTACTCATACCCTACACCCCATGCTGAAGGAAAAGAGTATATTTTACTGGGAACCAACATTGATGGCTTTCCTGTGAATGACCCCATTTATCTACCCAATCTACCTAGTGATACCTAGTAATTATTATTACTGCAGTTTGTGAAAGGAGGAGCCTGCAACTTAGAGAGGTGGAGGGACTTTCACAAAGGTAACAGCTCTCAGGCCCTTGATGAGAGTGATTCCTCTAAGCTGCACCTGTCCAATGGCATCTCTTTGGGCCCCTCCAGCAGGCACTCCATCTGCTGTGTCCCAATCATGAACTATACACACCTGACGTCTGCATCGCCACCAGGGCCTCCAGCTCCACTATCCCCAGTGCACACCACCTCTCTGCAAACAGCCTCCCTATTAGGAAGATTTTCACAGGGACAGCAGCACCACACAGCAACACACACAGGTCTTCAGTTTCACCTCAGTTGTGACAGAGGCCTCCACCACCACATGCAGTGATTTGTTTCCAAGGTCATGTCCATCTTCATGAACCTGCTTCATGATGTGCCTGTGTCCAAATTCTCCCAGTCACTATTCCGAGCACTGTAAAGGACACTGATGGACTATAAACGTTCACTGTAGCCTTCTCCAAGTCCCCAAGGCTCTTACTCCTAACTCTAGGACACACTGCTTAACTGCTCCTCCTACCCAACAGAAAAATGTCACCAAATAATGATTGCTAATCATCAAGAACGTGCCCACATCTCCTCGGGACTCATGCTTGACAAACCTAAGTCTAAATGCTATGTGCTGAATGCAGCCTGACACCTCCCATAAAGCCTGTAAAACCCCACCCCAAGTCCTTCTTCTTGCTTGACAAAGCTGCTCACAAGTGTGAATCTCCAGGTTGTAACAAGGTGGTTACCCAGTCCCTGGTCTGAAAACCATCAGTGCATCATCATACTTGCAATGATGTGGGAGAAGTTGTTCTTTCCAAACCAGTCTGCACTCACCTCATCACACATTATCCAGGAAGACTGGGAGATTATGTGTGGCCCACACACCAGAATGTTGGACATCTCTATCACATGCCTGCCCCAAAATCTCGCTGGAGTATTTGTGACTTTTGTAGCCACACCTGCTGTGCTAGGTCAGCACCTCCCACTTTATTTCCCAAACAGGTTCTCACTTCTGTCATAAATCCTTTGTGCTGTGGTAGTTTGTAGGTACAGGATGCATCAAAGTGTGTTACCAATCAAAATCTGTCACACAGTGTCCCCATTTGTGCTGATATGCACTGATATTTATAATACTTTTGTGTGTAATAAAGTTACTGGAGTTATGAAAGGGCTCTTTTATTTTAGAAACACATTTTAAGAAATTATGTATTCAGGGGCTTCCCTGGTGGTGCAGTGGTTGAGAATCTGCCTGCCAATGCAGGGGACATGAGTTCGATCCCTGGTCTGGGAAGATCTCACATGCCAAGTGCTGCAAATACTGAAGCCCATGCGACTAGCGCCCGTGCTCCACAACAGGAGAAGCCACCGCAATGAGAAGCCCATGCACTGCAAAGAAAAGTAGCTCCCACTCGCTGCAACTAGAGAAAGCCTGTGTGCAGCAACGAAGACCCACCACAGCCAAAAATAAATTAAATAAATTAAAAAAAATTTATGTATTCAAAGACATACCTGGGATTATAAATTGTAAAAACCACTAAGTAAATCACGATACACAAACACAAAAAATCTACAAAATATAGTAAATGATGTAATATACAGGAAGGTTCCTACACAGTCATTCCATTTATATATACATTTGAAAAAAGTTATTTCAAAAGTAGAATATGCTCTTGCATCAGTATTTTTAATTTTGAGGATGAATTAAAAGTGACAGGAGGAAACTGGTTTCAGGGCTTTACACAAGTATCACAGTGTTAAAATGTACATTTAAGGTACATGTAATTTATTTTCAGTCAACTATACATATATTAAACGATTTTTAAAACAAATATGCAAAACCTGTCACTTTATAATCATTCTACTATGGTTTATTAGCGACATTCTTAAACTTATTTGTGGCTACTGTACCTGTAAGGTAGAAAAAGAATACCATGGTGGGCTCCTGGCAAGGCTTCCCAACTCCATATTCAGTGACATTATGTTGGCAATTTGACATTGGATATGCTGGAAGTATTTACACCAGGGAAATTGGCAAAGACTACAAACCAGGATTTCACTTACTGTGTTACTGAATATCTGGACTTAAGACTGAGGTAGGATATGGGAGTTCCCTGGTGGCCTAGTGATTAGGATTCTGGGCTTTCAGTGCTGGGGCCTGGGTTTGATGTCTGGTCAGGGAACTGAGGTCCCACAAGCTGTGTGGTCTGGGGAAAAAAAAGGGGGGGTGACTGAGAATAAAAAAAGGAAAAAACCTGAGGTAGCATATGTTAATAGTGCAGATTTATCTTTTATTTTATTTTTTTTTTGCAGTACGCAGACCTCTCACTGTCGTGGCCTCTCCCGTTGTGGAACACAGGCTCCAGATGTGCAGGCTCAGCGGCCGTGGCTCACGGGCCCAGCCACTCCGCGGCATGTGGGATCTTCCCGGACCGGGGCACGAACCCGTGTCCCCTGCATCGGCAGGTGGACTCTCAACCACTGTGCCACCAGGGAAGCCCCAGATTTATCTTTAACATATATAATGTATGTGGCCATTACATTATGCATAAGACCAAAATTAAGAAAAAATTGAGAACATATTCTTTCACTATGCCAAATTACAGTTCCATGCAGAAAAGAAGTCACTCACATTGGGTAAATGTGTGAAATCTCAGATACCTTTGTTGTTTCCCTGATCTCTTACTTGTCAAGGAAAGAGAAAACAGACAAAAACTCACAAAATAAAAGCAGGTATAAGACAGAAATAGAAATTTATCAAAACAAGACATGCAGGTAAAAAATAGACAGATTAAAAAATAATAATAATAACTCAAACTGAAAAATCCTGAGGGAATCCCCTGGCAGTCCACTAGTTATGGTTCTGCATTTCCACTGCAGGGGGCAGAGGTTCAATCCCTGGTTGGATAACTAAAATCCCACATGCCACAAAGTGCACCCAAAATTAAAAAAAAAAAAGAACCATGAGAAAAAAGCAATTAAAATCATACTGATTTTATATTGCGATTTTACAGTCTTCATCGGAGGGGTCAGCCTGCATTCTGTCTTACCTTTTAAGCTAGGTTGGTCAAATGTAGGTCTCAAAAGGGGGGCAGGAAAGTTCTTGCTGATTAAAAATCATTATTTGGTGACTTACATTTTGGGGAGGGTGGTGGAGGAGGAGCAGTAAGGGGATGGTAAAAAGGATTAGGAGGAATAGCCTTGGGGACCAGGTCATGTGAGGGCCACAGTGGACATTCCTAGTCCTTCAGTGTCCTTCACACTGCCCAGAACAGTGAGCATGTCAACTGCATAATGGGGAAACGAGGACATCCTGAAGTGGGTTTATGAAAAAGGAAAGGACCTTGAAAACGAATCACTGCATATGGCAGTGGAGCCAGTGTCACATCTGGGGTGACTCCAATGATCCTCTCTGCAGTGCCTGGCTTAGTGCTGCTGTCACTGTAAGAACGTCCCAAGAGGGAGGGTGTTTGCAGGAAGCAGATGTACACTGGAAAACATGAAGCTGGAGGTCCAGGTGGAAAACACATCAGGTGTTGGTAGTTCATCTTTGGGACAAAGAAAATGGGAGTCCCTGCTCAAAGCAGGAGAGGCCATTGGAAGGGTACAGTGTAGAGGAACCACTCTCATCAAAGACCTGGCAGTAGTGAGGTCTTGTGGAATTCCCTCAATGTCTCTGGGCTGCACATGCATTCCTTTACAAATGTGAATAAAAACACTATGAGCACTGGTTTGGTTGGGTAGATGAATGGGAGTCATTTCCAAGAAAGCCATCAATGTTGTTTCCCAGAGAAAAGACAGCCCTATTCATCAGCATGGGGATGTGGTATCAGCAGTGCTCCTGGGGTGGGGGGCAAAAGTGTCCGGATGGACAACGTGTCTTTGAGTCCTCAACGGGGGAAGGGGGAGAAAAGGACTGAAATGACCAGATTCCCTATGTCCTGAACCAGGCAACCTGACATTGAATCCGGATATCATCTGTTCACAACAGATGATACATTCTCTCTGTGCCGCAGTTTGTCCCAAGAAAGAGTACATTTGCTGCACAGTAACTGCAGGGTTTCTTCCCACCCTGTTACAATCTCAAACTCCTTGAACATTAGTCCCATCTATATTCGCTATATTCATAAGGCCCTTTTACCAGTGTGAACTGATGTTTAATGAAGTAGCACCTTTCAGTAAGATTTATCACATTCCTTTCACTCACAAGGCTTTTCTCCAGTGTGGATTTTCCTATGGATATAGAGGAGCTGTCTTCGGCTAAAGCATTTCCCACATTCAGTACACTCATAAGGCCTTTCTCCAGTGTGAACTCTCTGATGACGACGAAGGCTTGACGTATCAGTAAAACATTTCCCACATTCATTGCACTTATAAGGCCTTTCTCCTGTGTGAATTCTCTGATGAACATAAAGATCAGATATAATACTAAAACATTTCCCACATGCAATGCACTCATAAGGCCTTTCTCCACTGTGAACCCTCTGATGACGATTAAGGCTCGAGCTACCAGTAAAACACTTCCCACATTCACTGCACTCATAAGGCCTTTCTCCACTGTGAACTCTCTGATGATAATAGAGAGCAGAACTAGTAGTAAAAGATTTCCCACATTCACTGCACTCATAAGGCCTTTCTCCACTGTGAACTCTCTGATGATAATAGAGACCAGAACTACTAGTAAAAGATTTCCCACATTCACTGCACTCATAAGGCCTTTCTCCACTGTGAACTCTCTGATGATAATAGAAACCAGAGCTAGTAGTAAAAGATTTCCCACATTGACTACACTCATAAGGCTTTTCTCCACTGTGAATTCGCTGATGGTAATGAAGGCTCGTCTTAGCAGTAAAAAATTTTCCACATTTATTGCATTCATAAGGCTTTTCTCCAGTATGAACTTTCTTATGGGCACTGAGGTGTCCATTTCGGCTAAAGAATTTCCCACATTCACTGCACTCAAAAGGCTTTTCTCCACTGTGAACTCTCTGATGATTACAAAGGATTGACCTATTACTAAAAGATTTCCCACATTCATTGCACTCATAAGGCCTTTCTCCAGTGTGAACTCGCAGATGATAATAGAGGCCAGACCTAGTAGTAAAAGATTTTCCACATTCACTGCACTCATAAGGCCTTTCCCCACTGTGAACTCTCTGATGTGTAAGGAAACTAGATTTGTGGGTAAAAAATTTTCCACATTGGCTGCATTCATAAGACCTTTCTCCAGTGTGAACCTTCTGGTGCTGACTATGGTTACTTCTTTGGGTGCAGGCTTTCCCACAGTTGCTGCATTCACAAAACCTTTCACGAGTGAGGACTGTCTCAGACTGAACAAGTATTTCTGTGTGGCTGGAGAATTTGTCGCCTTCTCCACAGCTGTGATGACATTTTCCACTGTCAAAAACAGCTTCACACACCTTACTGTTGTTCAGTTTCTTCCTGGTATTAGTAACCTGTTTCTGAAGTCCAATTTTGGCCACATAGTTGTTCCCAATCTCCATGTAGGTAGAGAGATTCCCTGTTGCATGGATTGTGCAGCTTTTGAAAAATGCGGGTCTCCCCATATCACAGCTGAAGGGTTTCTCTCTAATGTGCTGCTTCTGGTGCTCTTGAAGGTTTGCAGTGAAATAGAACTGTTTCCCACATGCCCCACATGTGTATGCTTTCTGCCCTCTATTTGTTCCTTGCTCTTCAGCCAAGTGCAAAATGTCTCTCAAGACTGGGAGGCACATCTTACAGGGCTGGGCCTTCTCAGGAGATGAACCTGCGCTGGAAGTCCTGATCTGTGACACTCCTGCAGATACGCTCTGTTCAGAAGGTGTCTCTTCATCCTCGACCTGGTGCCAAGAACCTGAAAACAAAGAAATGATGGTGAAGTTCTTGTTCATGTTATTGGGTGTGAGTGACACCATCACAACTGTATATCTGACACATGAAGGAAGCAGTCCATAGGATTGTGTTCAGGAAATGGAGTTGGGGTCAAATTGGGAAAGAAGGTGCTCTCACCAAGTACAGGACACAGGGACTGGATGTGGCCCAAGGCAAAAGGCAAGTTCGACAATTCACTCCTCTGTCAATGGCTTTTACCAGGACCACATCTACTGATGACCTATCATACTATGCAGAAGTGTATTTCCAGGCCCCAGAAAATCTGCCTGCAACTGGTAGCTGGTGTTCAAGAAATATTAAAGGATATATACATGGTTGAGGACATAAACAATACCACTAAGTATTAAGGGGAAAACAATGTGAAGACCACATGAGATAAATGGGTTAGAGAGGTGGTAGGGAAATTATCCCAGGCTGGAGTCAGAATAAAAGTGGGAAGTAAGTGGCTTCCCTGGTGGCGCAGTGGTTGAGAGTCCACCTGCCGATGCAGGGGACGTGGGTTCGTGCCCTGGTCTGGGAAGATCCCACGTGCCACAGAGCGGCTAGGCCCGTGAGCCATGGCTGCTGAGCCTGTGCGTCTGGAGCCTGTGCTCTGCAACTGGAGAGGCCACAACAGTGAGAGGCCCGCGTACTGCAAAAAAAAAAAAAAAAGGGGGAAGTAGGGAATTCCCTGGTGGTCCAGTGGTTAAGACTCCATGCTTCCAATGCAGGGATCATGGGTTCAACCCCTGGTTGGGAAACTAGGATCCCACAGGCCGTGGGCCATGGTCAAAAGAAAAAAAAAAAAGGGAAGTAGTAAAAAGCACAAGTTAGCAGAATGTCAAGAATGGAGAAAGGACAAGAGAAGTAATTGGGGGCCACTGACAATGGCCCTAAAACACTAGTCAAATAAGATACATTCCAGGTATTATTTCTCAACACAGACCTTATAACAAGCCCTCTCCTAGCGGCCATTGATCTTACCAGGCTATCTTTAAGCTCTTTATACTGAAACTAGAGTCATGTCCATCTCATGAAACCACCAAGGACTCTCCATCTCCAGCTGAAAAACTACATGGGACAGAAATGATACAAGCCCTAACAGAGTCAGGACAGGTAAGTGGCCAACATGAGCCCAGAGGAACTCAGTACACAATAGACCAAGGAACGATATTTAAATACCACCAAAAGAACATCCAGTGGAGACAGAGTGGGGAAGGATGAACAGTGGATAGAATACAGACTGTTAAGAATCCATCTCCTCACCTAAATGGGAACAATCTAACTGTTGTAACTCTTTTGCAACTATGGAGTCTACTGAAGATTTGCAGTGTCCCACAAAACGAAGTTTGAACACACGAAACTTCAAAACCAGAATCAGATATCACAGGAATGTTGGGATGATCATGCTGGGAATATAAAACAATTATAATCAATATGCTAATTAATGTCTGCGAATGGATAAAGCAGACAGCATACAAGAGCAGAAAGGCAATGTAAGCAAAGAGATGGGAAATCTAACAAAGAATCAAGAAATGCTAGAGAGAGAGAAAAAAAAAAAGAAATGCTAGAGATCGAGAACACCATAACAGAAATGAAAAATGACTGTGATAGGCTTATTTATAAACTGGACATAGGTAAGGAAAGAATCTGAGCTTGATGTTCTCTTAGGAAAAGCTTCCAAAACTGAAAAAAAAAAAAAAAGGCAAAAAAAAAAAAAAAAATCCAATATTGGTGGGACAACTACAAAAGGTTTAACATACACATATGGAAACATTAAAGGAGAAAGAGACAAAGGAACAGAAAAAATATTTGAGGCAATAATGATGGAGAATTTCCACCAAATTACTATCAGACACCAAAGCACAGATCCAGGAAGCTCAGAGAACATCAAGTAGGTTTAATGTGAAAAAACTACACCTAGGAATATCACATTCAAATGTACAAAAAAGTCCTGAAAGAAGCCATAGGAATAAACACCTTACCCACAGAGAAGCAACAAAAACAATTACAGTTGAATTCTCCTCAGAACTCATGCAGACAAGAAGAGAATGAAGTGAAACATTTAAAGTGCTCAGGGTGGGTGTGGGAGGTGACCTTCAGCAACCCAGAATTTGGTATCCAGCAAAAATTACCCTTCAACAGTGATGGTGAAATAAACACTTTCTTACATACAGAAAAATTGTGGGAATATATTAAAAGAAGTTCTTCAGAGAGATGAAGGGATTTCCCTGGCAGTCCAGTGGTTACCATGCATGCTTCCACTGCAGGGGGCATGGGCTTGATCCCTGGTCGAGAAACTAAGATGCCGCATGTGGCACAGCATGGCCAAAAAAAAAAAAAAAAAAAAAAAAGAGAGAGGCAGATGGTAAATGATATAGATCAGAAATTTGGGTTTCATAGAGAAAGGAAGAGAATCAGAATAAAAAATATTTTACAGACACATAATTGTTGGGGAACATCATATATCTTTAAGCTGTACAACATGACTCTATATATGTACACACTGAAATGACTACCACATAAGTTCAGTTGAATTATGTCTTACAATTTTCTTTCTTCTGATGAGAACTTCTAAGATCTACTTTCTTAAAAACTTCTAAATATACATTTTTGTTAACTAAAATCACTATGCTGTGAATTACATCCCCAGGACTTAATCATAACTAGAAGTCTGTAACTTCTGAAACCCTTCACCCATGTCATCTACCCACCTTCCTGTGTTCTGGCAATCACTAATCTGTTGTCTGCATCTGAGTTTGTTGTTGTTGTTGTTGTTATTTTTTCAAAGATTTCCCATGTAAGTATAATCATGTAGTACATTTAAACCTTGAATAACATGGGTTAGAATTGCTTGGGTCCATTTATACAGGGATATTTTCCAATAAATACACAACACTACATGATCTTTAGTTGGATGAATCCAAAAATGGGAAACTTGGGCTTCCCTGGTGGTGCAGTGGTTGAGAATCCACCTGCCAATGCAGGGGACATGGGTTCGAGCTCTGGGCTGGGAAGATCCCACATGCCACGGAGCAACTAAGTCCGTGCACCACAACTACTGAGCCTGCACTCTAGAGCCCGTGAGCCACAAATGCTGAAGCCTGTGTGCCACAACTACTGAAGCCCGTGCGCCTAGAGCCTGTGCTCCGCAACAAGCCACTGCAATGAGAAACCCATGCACCACAACGAAGAGTAGCCCCCGCTCGTTGCAACTAGAGAAAGCCCACGAGCAGCAACGAAGACACAACACAGCCAAAATAAATATAATTAATTAATTTATATTTTTAAAACAATGGGAAACTTCAGAATCAGAAGTCTGACTATGGGACTTAAACACCCCCAGATTTCAGTATATGCAGGGGATCCTGGCACCAATCCTCTGTGGAAACATAGGGACAACAGGATTTCTCTCTCTGACTTATTTCACTTAGCATAATGCCTGTAAAATCCAATCATGTTGCTGTAAATGCAAAACTTCCTTCTTTTTTTAATGGTTGAATAAAACTGAATAGTATTCCATATATATGACGTGTTTGTTATCCACTCATCCATCAACGGACACTTAGGTTGTTTCCATGTCTTGGATATTGTAAATAATGCAGCAATAAACATGGAGTACACATATCTTTTTGAGATGATGATTTCACTCCCCTAGATAAATACACAGAGATGGAACTGCTGGACCATATGGTAGTTCCTTTCTTAATTCTGTAAGGATTCTCTACTCTTTTCCATGTGGTAGAAATAATGTACATTCCCACCAACAGTGCACACAGGGTCCCTTTTCTTCACATCTTCTCCTATACTTATTTATTGTCTTTTTCATAACAGACATTATAACAGCTGTGAGGTGGTATTTCATTGTGGTATTAATTTGCATTTCCTCAACCATTAGTGATATTGAGCACCTTTTCATGTAGAAGGTCACCATTTGCATATCTTCTTCTGAAAACTGTCTATTTAGATTTAACAGTTTGTACAAATCAACAATAACAAGTGTACTCCATCATGTATTTTTAAACATACCCATATATGTATGTTTATGTAAAATTAAAACAAAAGACAACAATAATACAATGGAGAAGATGGAAAATTAGGATTTTTTAAAATTATGAGCTTTTTAAACTACCCACGAAACCACAGTGTCATTTGAATGTGGACTTGAATTAGTTGTAAATACATACTGGAAACTCTATCGCGACTACATTAAAAAATGAAAAGGAACAAGTATAGATGATATGCTAACAAAGGAGAGAAAAAGGGTCATTCAAAATGCTTCATTAAAACCACAAAAAGAAGGGTGGAAGACTAAACTAGGAACAAAGAAAAAGGGCAATGGAAAGAAAATGGTAACAAATATGTTAGATGTTTACCCAACTGTATCAATATATTAAACATCGATAGTCTCAATGCACCAATTAAAAGAGAGATTATCAGAGTGGATCAAAAAACAAGACTGAATTATATGTTGTCTCCGAGAAACCCACTTTAAATACAAAGATGCACATAGAGGAAGCTCCCTGGTGGTGCAGTGGTTAAGAATCCACTTTCTGGGTTTCCCTGGTGGTGCAGTGGTTGAAAGTCCGCCTGCCAATGCAGGGGACACGGGTTCGTGCCCCGGTCTTGGAAGATCCCACATGCCGTGGAGTGGCTGGGCCCATGAGCCATGGTCACTGAGCCTGTGCGTCTGGAGCCTGTGCTCTGCAATGGGAGAGGCCACAACAGTGAGAGGCCCGTGTACCCACCCTCCCCCCCAAAAAAAAGAATCCACCTTCTAATGCAGGGGACGCGGGTTTGATCCCTGGTCTGGGAATTAGATCCTACATGCATGCCGCAACTAAGAGTTTGCACACCACAACTAAGGAGCTTCTGAGCTGCAACTAAGGAGCCCATAGGCCACAACTAAGGACCCCACCAGCCACAATTAAGGAGCACACGTGCCACAACTAAGGAGCACACGTGCCACAACTAAAGGAGCAAGTGAGCCACCACCAAGGAGCCTGCGAGCCTCGACTAAGACCCAGCATAACCAAAATTAAAAAAAAATTTTTAAAAGATGCTTAAAGGTCTTTCTTTGTGGCGCAGTGGTTGAGAGTCCGCCTGTCGATGCAGGGGACGCAGGTTCGTGCCCCGGTCCAGGAGGATCCTACATGCAGCAGAGCTGCTGGGCCCGTGGGCCGTGTCCGCTAAGCCTGCACGTCCGGAGCTAATGCTCCGCAGTGGGAGAGGCCACGGCAGTCAGAGGCCCACATACCATAAAAAATTTTAAAAAAGATGCTTAAAAAAAAAGATGCATATAAATTAAAAGTATGTCAATACAGAAAAAGAGGTCAACACAAATCAAAAGAAAAAAAAGAAAAGTGGTAGTAACTATACTGATATCACAGCAGATTTTGCATAAGCAAAGTCATCAGGGATAATGAGAATGACACAATGGTAAAGGGGTCAATACTCCAGAATACAGAACAATCCTTAACATGTCTGCATCTAACAACACAATGTCAAAATATGAGGCAAAACAGGCCTACAAGTAAAAAATAGATGAATCTGCTATAACACTTGGAGACTTCATTCAACAAACCTCTCTAAGAAATGAACAGATCCAGAAAAGAAAAAATCTATAAGGATGCTGGTAAACTGAGGATCACCATCATCAGTCAACTGGATGTAACAGTCACCTACAGATTACTAGGCTACTCCATTCAAAAACAGCAGAATATTCTTCTCAAACTGACATAGAACATTCACAAGATGGATTACACCTTGGGCCAGAAAACACACCTTAACAAATTTAAAAGAATAGAAAACATACAAGATCAGTTCTCAGAACAAAGTGGAATTACACCGGCAACCAGTAACAAAAGGATAGCTGTAAAATTGCACAACACTGATAAATTCAACAATACACTTCCAAATAAAACATGGGTCAAAGAATAAATATTAAGATAAATTTTTAAGTATTTTGAAAGAAAGAAACACAGCAGTTGTGAAAACATGCAGATGGGGACTTCCTTGGTGGCAGTTAAGAATCTGCCTGCCAATGCAGGGGACACGGGTTCAAGCCCTGGTCTGGGAACATCCCACATGCTGCAGAGCAACTGAGCCCGTGTGCCGCAACTACTAAGCTTGCGCTCTAGAGCCCACACACTGCAACTACTGAAGTCCGCACCCCTAGAGCCCACGCTCTGCAACAAGAGAAGCCACCACAATAAGAAGCCTGTGCACCACAATGAAGAGTAGCCCCCACTCACTGCAACTAGACAAAGCCCACACACAGCAACGAAGACCCAACGCACCGAAAAATAAACTTAAAAAAAATGCCGATACAGTGAAAGCAGTGTTTATATGGCAATCGGTAGCACTGAATGCATATATTAGATAAGATGAAAAACCTAAAATCAGTCATCTGTGCCTCTATCTTAGGAAACTAGGGGAAAATGAAATACAAAGGAAGAAAAAAAGAAATAATTTAAAAAATCAGTAGAGAAAAATCAACAAAGTCAAAAAAAAGCTGGTTCTTTAAAATGCCCAATAAAATCAAAAACATGCTAGTCAGCCTAGTCACAAAAACAAGGGAGGACACAAATTACTAATATCAAAGTGAAAAAGGAGGGCTTCCCTGGTGGCACACTGGTTAAGAATCCGCCTGCCAATGCAGGGGACAGGGGTTGGAGCCCTGGTCTGGGAAGATCCCACATGCTGCAGAGCAACTAAGCCCGTGAGCCACCATGACTGAGCCTGAAAGCCACAACTACTGAGCCCGCGCGCCTAGAGCCCATGCTCTACAATAAGAGAAGCAATTACAATGAGAAGCCCGCGTGCCACAATGAAGAGTAGCCCCTCAATCACCGCAACTAGAGAAAGCCTGTGCGCAGCAACGAAGATCCAATGCAAGAAGGGAGGGAGGGAGGGAGGGAGGGAGGGAGGGAAGGAAGGAAGGATGGATTATACACCATAACCAACTGAGAATGATCCACGTTATACAATGCTGACTTAACATTAAAAAATCAATTAATATAATCCATGTCATCAACAGGTTAAAAACCAACTCATGATCTCATCAATAGATGCAGAAAAAGGATCTGACAAAATCCAACAGCCACTCATATTCAAAATCTCCATATGATATAACCTAAAAATTGAAAAAATACTTAAACTTGATAAACTAAATAAAACCCTATAGCTACTATCATACTTACTAGAGAAAAACTAGAATTCTCCCACTAAGATGAAGAAGGCAAGGATGTTCCCTTTTACAACTCCCTTTCAACTTTACAGTGGAAGTCAAAACAAAGGCAATGAGATGAGGTTATATAAATGGCATACTGATCAGGAAGGAAGGAATAAAACTGTCTTCATTCTCATATGACATGATCAGCTATGTTAAACACCCAAAAAATAGAGGAAAAAAAAATTCCTGGAACTAAGAAGCAATTATAGCAAGCTTTCAGGACATAAGCTTAATATACAAAAGTCAATTATGTCCTATATACCATCAATGAACAAGTGAATTTGAAATTAAAACCACAATACCATGTAAATTACCACCAGCTCAAAAAAAAAAAAGAGAGCAATAGAAAGAAATATTGAGTTACAGATCTACCAAAACATGTACAAGATATACATGAGAGAAACTATAAAACTTAGATAGAGAAATTATGAATTCCATGGTGGTTCAATGGTTAGGACTCCATGCTTTCACTGCCATGGGCCTGAGTTCGATCCCTAGTAGGGGAACTAAAATCCCTCAGGTCTCACAGTGCAGCCAAAAAACAAATAAACGATCAAACATTCTAATAAAGAAATCAAAGAACTAAATAAATGGAAAGCTATTTCACGTTCATAAACAGGAAAACCCAGTATCATCAATATGTTCGTTCTTCCCAACTTCATCAATAGATTCAATGCAACCCAAATCAAAATACCAGCAAGTTATTTTGTGGACATAAATACTTTGATCCTAAAATTTATACAAAAAGGCAAAAGTCCGAGAATAGCCAACACAAAACTTAAGAAGAACAAAGCTGGCAGACTGACACTACTCAACTTTAAGACTTAGTATCTAAAGTAATCAAACCAGTGTGATATTGCTGAAAAGACAGAGAAACTGTTCAGTGAACAGTATTGAAAACCCAGAAATAGACCCATAGAAATACACTCAACTGACCTTTGACAGATGAACAAGCGCAATACAATGGAGAAAAGTTAAGTCTTTTGAATAAATAGTACTGGAACAACCGAACATCACATGCAAAGAAATGAATTCTAGACCCAAACCTTCACAAAAAATTAACTCAAAATGGATCACAGACCTAAATGCTAAATACAAAAAACTCTTAAAACTTAGTAAGAAAACAAAAACCCAAATACCAAATGAGCAAAGCACCTTAACAAACACCTCATTAAAAGAAGATATACAGGACTTCCCTGGTGGCACAGTGGTTAAGAATCCGCCTGCCAATGCAGGGACACAGGTTCAAGCCCTGGTCCGTGAAAATCCCACATGCCACGGAGCAACTAAACCCGTGTGCCACAACTACTGAGCCTGCGCTCTAGAGCCACAACTACTGAAGCCCATGTGCCACAACTACTGAAGCCTGCGTGCCTAGAGGCCATGCTCTGCAACAAGAGAAGCCACTGCAATGAGAAACCCGCGCACCACAATGAAGAGTAGACCCTGTTCATCGCAACTAGAAAAAGCCCACGTGCAACAATGAAGACCCAACGTAGCAAAAAAAATAATAATATATACAGACGACAATTTAGCATATACAAAGATGCAAGGAAATGCAAATTAAACTGAAAAGCACACACTATTACATACCTGTAAGAAGGGCCAAAATCCAAACAATCACAACACCAAATGCTATAAGGGTGTGGAGCAACAGGAATTTCATTCATTGCTGACCGGAATGCTTAACAGATGCCAGTGTTGATAAACAGAAATTGGAACCTTGGAAAAAGGTCTTACAGAAACAGCTCCTGGTCTATTTTAGTAACGACCATGTCAGTGACAACAGTCTGTTGTGAAGTAAGGCACAAAAAAATGTCATGGACAGGAATGGAGCAAAACTTGGGTACCATGGATTTTGACAATCGCCTGGGCAGAGAGGGCGAGCAAGGAGGGATCTATCAGACTGAGTGCAAGACTACTGAACCTAAATCCTCACCTGCAAAACTTTGGAGCTACAGGTGTCCCGGCACTAAGGAATAGGGATACACTCTGCCTAGCCATAGTAACCACAGCACATAACCAAGGAATTGAAGAAGAAAGCAGTGCCTGTGTTCCAGATGTGAGAAGGACAGAGCTGCCCTTGGGGAAGAGAAGAAAGGCAGAGCCTAGATCAGAGGATAGGGGTGGGTGTGAGGGCCTTACCCAGCATGCATACAAGTGCAAAGTTCTCCAGCATGACATCAAGGTACAGGTGTATCTGAACCTCATCAAGAAGACACCATTCCTCCCAGGAGAAGTACACGGCAACATCCTCAAAGGTCACACTGCCCTGGTAAACAGGGACAAATAAAACCATGAACAGTCTCACTCCTGAAAACCCACAATCCATCTTCCTACACATTTCCCCTACTACCCAATCAGATGGAGCTTCTTGAGACCTGGGGAAGAAAACCATCTTCCTTTGATCTGCACCTCCCTTTTCCTCCAGAATACATAGGCAGTCATTTCAAGTCTAACTCTTGCCCTTCCCTGTTTATTTCCACCAGAAAAAAAGGAGACCTGCGCTTACCTAAACCAGCTCAGCCTCACCTCACAGCACTTCCACATACTGGTATTGGATTCATGAGTAACCTTCCACGCCTCCTTCCATTGGTGTTGGGAAATGGGAACCCCCTACACAGAACCCGGCCTTCACTCAGGAACCTGAGCATGGGGTTCTCCAGGGTCCCCAAAACAAAGAGGTGGGAGAATGGCAGGTGAAGAGCCCCAGTACACCTCAAATACAGAGAATGTGTGCGTGCGGGGTGAGAACAAGCGAGGGACTGGGACAACCTCCACTTGCTCCAAGTGCTTCTGCAGCCTGGTAACATGTAAGAAAAGGCAAACTATGGAGGAAAGAGACCATGGCTGTGTTCCAGAGGCTCATGCACTTGTATGCATGCTGGGTAAAGCCCTCACACCCACACCTATGCTCTGAGCTAGGCTCTGCCTTTCTCTTTTTCCCAAGGGCATCTCTGTCCTTCTCACAACTGGACCTCTGTCAGGTACCAGAGCCAGGTAACATCGGGATGACTGGCAAACCTCTCCTCCGTGCCTCGGTCCCTGGTGCTACCTCTTACCAGTTGTGACCTTGGAAAAGTCACAACTTCCCTCTGCCTCAATAATCTCATCACCCCCTACAGTCTGTGCTTCCACAGAACAGGCTCTGGAGTATTTTTAAAGGCCTAATTCAGATGGTGTCCTTCCTGTGCTCAAAACTCTCCAACGCTCCGAGGGCTCTCGGAGCCCTTCTCGGAGGGCTTTCCTCTCGGAGAAGAACGGTACAACCTCTCATCTACCACTCCAGATGCAGCCTGGCCTCAAACTTTCTTCCTTGCAGAAACAAGATGGACTCCAGGTTCCCGGAATGTTCTTGCTTCAGTTGCATCTCCAAGTCTCACGCAGGCAGAAAAAGGGAAAAGACCCCTGGAGGCCTCTCTGTCCTAGACCCTGGGCCTGGGATAAAGCGACGTGAACAGCCACCTCCCACGCGGGCCGTTCGTATCTGGGTGGGGAAACAGGCCGGGGAGAACCCGGAACGCACAGCGTTTACCTGAGCCTGGTCCCTCAGCGCAGGCGCCACCATCGGAACTTCTGGACGGAAAGGAGTGGCGACAGTCGACCGACCGGGTCCCACTCTGCACGTACACTGCAAGGGTCTGTCCCTGACCCTCAAAACCGCCCCGGTTCAGTGCGCACAGAGCCTCCTCTTGCGCCTCTTAGCCTGTCTCCTCGCTCCCAACACCGCACACAGAAGCCCCTGACCGTCTACAGAGACTCCACCGTAATTAAAATGGCAGCCACGAAGAAACCGGAAGTCCCTCTGCAGGATGTTCGCCCTCCCGGAAATGCCCCCTTGCTCGATTTTCATTGGATGAAAGTCGCTGCCCTTAGCACAAATTCTTCTGGGTAATGTAGTGTAAAAGTCTCAAGGAAGGAAGCCCCACACCGGGAAGCACCTGGGAAAAAGCCAAGAAGCACCCGGAGGAGCACTAGGAAATGACCTCTAGGGCTCCGGGTAGGGGGGCTCCAGCCTTATTAATGGGGCGGAGGACCCATGGGGTCGGGGAGTGCATTATCTCAGAATCCTTTAAACCATCCGACGTTTAAACCCACTGGTAACAGGAACAAAAACTAAACATTATCCTATTGCTCCTGATATACATGCAGCCTGAAGAGTTAAAGTGATTTTGTGGGCTTTGTTCAGGGACCAGAAAAAAGTCAGACAAAACGCTGACTGGGAATATGGAGAGGAGATTTTGGACAGGCCTGCTCGGCAAGAGGGAGAGCACAGCTTCTCGTCCCCCTAGAAAAGACTCTTCTGACTGCATAGTTAGTGATTGTGCCCAATTCAGTGACAAAAACTGATGATCAGGCCACCCACGATAGATGTTCTCTTGCTTTTTGTACTTTCCTTGCTCCACCAGTCTGATTCACCTACACCCTATTCACGTGAATGAACTTCTCTTACTATTGTTATTTTATTTATTTATATATTTTGGCCGCACTGTGTGGCTTTTGGGATCTTAGTTCTGTAAGGCCAACTGACCCGAGGCAGGGGAACGCAATCAGACTCACAGGTTGCATCAGCCCGGAACGTTCCACACACCCAGTTCTCGGAATTGACCTGGAGCTCCCACCCACCCAGTTCCAGGAACTGACCTGGGGACTTTCCACCCGGCCCAGCCTTCCCGCCTTTCTAGGGGTGGGACTAACGGTCCCAAGACTGATACAACCGGCACCAGATATTGCCACGATACCAGAAAAGACCACCAAATAAGGACTACCCTGCGCCCTCCCGGATTCACCACACCCCTTCCCCTTCTTCCCCTATAAATTCTGCCCAAACCCTCGCCCGGGCGCGACTTCTCTGGCTCCTTTCTCTCGGACCAGTGAACCTCTCCCAGGAGCGCTCCCTAATAAAGCTCACTTGAAGCTTTCCTGTTTCGCGGTGCCGTTTGTTAAGATCCGACCTTACAAGTTCCCCAACCAGAGATCAAACCCAGGCTCACAGCAGGGAAAGGGTGGAGTCCTAACCACTGGACAGCCAGGGAATTCCCTGACCTTCCCTCTTAATCATAAGGCCTAATCAGTCAATGCGTACCTACTTATCCTGGCCCCAGCTAGTGAATGGGCTAATCTTTAGATAATATTTCACTTTGTATTTCCACATTTTTATCTATTACTGAAAATGGTTTTATCTTATGTACAGAGGCTACCCAGAGGTTTCACTGAAAACTGAGCAGTTTCGTGTGCAACGCACAATTTTCTTAATATAGACTTTACAAAATTATCAATATTGGTGGATTCCTAACCCAAGATAGATTTTTCTGTTTTTTGGAAAAAATATAACTATCAAAAACAATTGAATAACTGGCTGAGCTTAGAAGCACCTGTATATTAGGCAAGATTTACTTTCTCCAGATTACTCAGTGCCCATTTATCTGATACAGCTGAGCAGAAGATACAGCTGAGTAGAAGTAGGTGATACATTTATGTTTATCTTTCTACCATTTCTTTGTCTCAAATTAAAATCAATATCTCCTAGATATGAAAGTGATGGGCATGCCAACTTGGAAATAGGGATTATGTTCCTCACTCACACTGGAGCTGGGGTCCTAGAAAACTCCTCCTGCCTTTGTCTTCATAACTTCACCTTGCTCACCAGTTACAAGTTGAGACCCACTGATCAGACTGACAACAAACTGATCTTGGCCAACAACTGTTTTGCCAAAAGCCTGCTTTCAGTTTTAAGGTTCGTTGGATTCGCTGGCAAAATAACCACTAGTCTCACACGAATAAACAGCTTCAATCAAATCTTTAATAGAAAGTGATTTAACTTAACTTCAATATACAATCATTAGAGAGAAAGCAATAAGAATATTAACAGACTATATAAATTTCAATATACAATCATTAGAGGGAGAGCAATAATATTAACAGGGTATATAACAGAGCATACATCACCGAATTGGGCCGACACCAACTTCCAGATCCAAGTGGCAGCTAGGAATTCCCTTGAACAGCAATCTGGAGTCCCAGTTGGGAAGGTCCCGGGCGGTGAGTCCACCTCACGGGTGGGACTTCAGAGTGCTGCCCAAAGGAGTCCTGCTTTTAACGCCAAGCCGCAAGCTGATAGTCATCAGCTTGCGTGCAAGTACGCAGCTCTGACTATTAACACAAATATTTTGATACTTTAGTTGTAAGTCTCAGAATGTTCGCTGAATTCCAGGAACTGGCCAGATTCCCAAGTCCCAGGAAGCTTTGTGACTTACTCCCTTCTTTATCTGTTGGATCCCAAGACTGACTAGCACCGTTTCTGCTGACCTGCATGTAGTCTAGCAGCTTGATGTGTAGCTCTTTCAGAGTCTTTGTTTAGTCAAAAGCCTATTGTTGTCTCTGAAGCCTGAAGAAGACTATTTTATTAGCCTCCCCAACAACTTGGCTCTTAGCTCCAGAGGGATCCCACAGACAATGACAGCTTTTGGATTGAAACACTTCCTCTATGATCTTGGGTATACATTTGTCTTGTATTTACAGAGTGGCCACGGGGGTTTCTCTCGGCACTACCTGCCTTCTGAGTGGCTTCCTGGTCATTAAGTTTTGCCCCAGAACCTCTTAGTGGATAGACTTCAGAATTCAATCTCCCCAAATGCATTGGCTTCTTTACTTTCCTTTTCTGGTTCCTTCAGCTGTTGGTAAATGTCTATATTCCTATGAATGTGATTGGTCCTAGAAACAGCACAAATGTGTGAAAAAAATTTTTACACACGGTTTCTCAGCCACGTCAGACAGAAATCTCGGCTTATTTCATGCATTTATATTTTATCCCCTGGATGTTATTTGGGCTTCAAGATCTGGACTAGTGGGTGCATGATATTTGTCCTGCACAGATACAAGCAGCGAGCCCAATACATCCACAGCAACAGACTTTACCCCAGACCTCCCCACGTGGCCAAAGCCACATGCACCATCCTTATCCTGGTGAGTTTCTTCATCTCTTTTTACTGCCTCTCTTCCATTTTGAGTCTTTGTGTTACTATAATTGTAAATCCAGACCAGTGGCTGATGGAAACATCTCTGCTACTAGTTCCGGATTTCCCAACTTTCAGCCCCTTTGTTCTCAACAGCAGTGATTTTTCTATGATTTCTGCTCCAAAAAAATTATTTTCCTAATATTGTTAAACATTTGTCTTCTTATTTCTGCAGTGAATCAATTAATTTTTTTAAGGGAAATTTTGGGATCTACTCCTTCCTAGTTCAGCCACGTGAGAGCTCTGGACCTCAATTTGTTTTAAATTTATTTATTTTTTATTTATTTTTCTCTGCATTGGGTCTTCGTTGCTGTGCACAGGCTTTCTCTAGTTGTGGCGAGTGGCGGCTACTCTTCATTGTGGTGCTCGGGCTTCTCATTGCGGTGGTTTCTCTTGTTGCAGAGAACAGGCTCTAGACGCATGGGACTCAGTAGTTGTGGTACGCAGGCTCAGTAGTTGTGGCTCGTGGGTTATAGAGCACAGGCTCAGTAGTTGTGGTGCATGGGCTTAATTGCTCCACAGCATGTGGGATCTTCCTGGACCAGGGCTGGAACCCGTGTCCCCTGCATTGGCAAGCAGATTCTTAATCACTGCACCAACAGGGAAGTCCCTAATTTTATTTTTTAACTTAGGTGATGGTCAGGTACAAATAATAATACAATGAAAAAGTAATTGGCTAAGGGGCTTTCAATTTTCATTCATTAATTGGGATATATTGCTGAATAAGAACAGATAAATTCTTGCATTTCTAGAGTTAATAGAATATGCAGAAAATGAAAATTTTATCTAGTTATACAGAATTTACTTAATCTACTTATACTTTACTACCTAGTAGCAACTCTTCAGAAAGTTTTAATTAAGTAAGTACTATGGAAAGAAACAGGAAATTTAGACATAAAAGTTTGTGTCTTTATGTACTTGTATCTTACATGGTTACTTTAAAAACAAATTTTTAAAGCATATTCAGATCCAGGAGTTCCAGGTAGACGAAAAACACCTCTAGAGCCCCACACATAACTTCACAGAGTTATCAGAGATCTGAAGATATCCACCATGTTTGGAAGGCAGAAATAGAGGAGATATATGGTGGGAGGAGAAACAATAAACATATGTAATGGTTGGTACTGACATATATTATAAATCCAGTCCAAAATTCTAATTTTGTCCAAAGAATACTGACAAGGCCATTATGAGGTATAACCAGATGTGCAACATTAGCAATTCTACAGTTTTTTTAAAATAAATGCTCAATTAAAAAATACATTAGATTAAAAACTTACATTTTTCACAACAAATATATATATCACATATTAGCCATCCAAATGAGTGTCAGGTGGTCTCATGGTCTCAGTTTGTTTTTCTTTTTTTTTTCTTTTTGGCCTTGCCACACAGCATGTAGGATCTTAGTCCCCTGACCAGAGATCGAACCAGTGCACCCTGCATTGGAGTCTTAACCACTGGACCACCAGGGAAGTTCCAGTCTCAGTTTGTTTGTTATTTAATTTATTTATTTTTGGCTGTGTTGGGTCTTCATTACTGTGCATGGGCTTTCTCTAGTTGCGGCAAGTGGGGGCAATTCTTCATTGAGGTGTGCAGGCTTCTCACTGTAGTGGTTTCTCTTCATTGAGGTGTGCAGGTTTCTAATTGCCATAGCTTCTCTTGTTGTGGAGCATGGGCTCTAGGCACACGGGCTCCAGTAGTTGTGGCTCGTGGGCTCTAGAGCGCAGGCTCAGTAGTTGTGGCACACAGGATTTGTT